GGGGGGGGGGCTGGGAGACTGGACTCCTGGGTTCTAGCCCCAGCTCTGGGAGGGGAGTGGGATCTAGTGGTTAGAGGAGGGGTGGCAACTGAGAGGCAGGACTCCTGGGTTCCATTCCCAGCTCTGCCACCAGTTTACATGACCTTGGGCACATCACTTTCTTTCCCCCTGTGTAAAATGGATATAACCCCCCTCATCCCATTTTGGGTGAGGGGCTTAAACTGCACCCATTAATCCCTCCTGTCTCTCTCCCGCACCCCCTGTCACTGGCCTTGCCGGATCCAGCAAGAACCTGGGAATCCCCTGCCCCCCTCCCTCGAAGCAGCACCGTCTCTGAGCCGGACCCCGGACGCCCCCAGGCCGTCATGTCGACCATCAATCCAGAATAGTGAGTCCGGGCTGCCAGAACCTGGGGTTGCATCGCATGGCTGGCAGGAGGTGGGGGGGGATGCTGAGCAAAAGGTGGCTGTTGTGTGCAGTGAGTTGGGTGGGTCTCAGCCCGGTTCCTGGAAGGCAGCTGGCATTGCTTGCCCGCCCCGTAATTCTGGGCAGTGGGGCACGGGTAGAGATGGGAAAGCCCTGGGATGGACTAAGACACAAATCAGCCGTCTCCTGCAGCATCGTACCACCCGGTTTCCCTACCGTGCGCCCCTGCAAGATGCTTGGAGTCCCCTCACTCTGAGGGCGGCCTGCCCATGCTGTCCACCTCCGTCTCCTTGGGTGCTTTAACTACTTTTAAAAGGGGGTGGGGGTGCATCACGTTGGGGGGGGTTGTCCTCAGGGGAGATATAGGGTGAATGGGGGGGGACATTAAGCAGATGGTGGTGGGGAAATATTGGAGGAGTGTGGAAATGTGCCCAGATGTTGCAGGGGGGGAGGTTAATGTGCCCAGATGTTGGGGCTGGGGGGGGTTAATGTGCCCAGATGTTGGGAGCGGGGCGGAGGGGTTAATGCGCCCAGATGTGCTAAGCACAGCTCTCTCAGAGACGGGAACAGGTCCCGTTGGGGGGAGGTGTCCCTGTGCATATGGGTGGGGGGAGCCCTGTGTTCCCCCGGCAGACATTAGAAGGGATGGGGGTGGTTGCTGGGGTCCTTGGCCTTGTGAGCGGGGTGATATCGCTCCCTGTTGGCCACCTGCAGCCACTGCAACCACCCAGCCCACTATCGGGAGCTGGCGGTTCCCGCGCTGAGTCCGTCGTTGGATCCCTGTGGGCGGCTGTTTGGCTGCAGCGGAAGGGGGGGGGTTTACTCAGCTGCTAGAATTGCCCCCCCCCAGGACATTTCAGGGAGTCACCCTCCCCTCTCCCCAACAGTGACTACTTGTTCAAACTCCTCCTGATCGGGGACTCCGGGGTCGGCAAATCCTGCCTCCTGCTGCGCTTCGCGGTGAGTGTCGGAGATGATGATTTATTAGGTGTATTACAGTAGTGCCCAGGCACCCTGCTCACAGACCAGACCCCCATTGTGCCAGGCGCTGTACATTTGTATTGCTGTTAGGTGTATTACGGTAGAATCTAGGCACCCTGCTCATAGACCAGACCCCCATTGTGCCAGGCGCTGTACATTTGTATTGCTATTAGGTTTATTATGGTAGTACCTAGAAGCCAGGTCACCCACCCCATGGGGCCCATGGACACTCCTGACCCTAACAGCTCTTCCCCTCTCCGGGCCCAAGGAGGGAGAGAAAGCCAAGGGCCCTGATGAAGGAATTTCTCCCATCCAGTGGGGGAAGCAAGAATGATGGGAGGGAACAGAGTCTAGTGGGTTAGAGCCGGGGGAGGGGTGGGAGCAGTGGAGAAGGGGGCTGGGAATCAGGACTCCTGGCTTCTCTTCATAGGTCAGTCAGCCCCTCGCTGTGCGACCTTGAGCGAGTTGCTGCCTTGTTCCCTGCCTCGGTTTCCCCGTTTGTGACTTGATAAAAATACCATATGGCCTGAACCTGAGGGGTTGAGGGCTTGTGCATCTTACTAGGGTAAAGCCACTGTCCTCTCCAGGATGGAATTGGAACTGCTCATTTGTGTGTCCTAGCCCCTGCGCTGCTAAGAGCTGATGGGGATTCTCCTTTAGCTCCGGTGGCTAGGCGTTTAGAGCAGGGGGAAGCAGGTTCTAAGCTTTTTGTTGCTGTGACGTTCCTAGGGGCTGTGGGGTGGGCAGCACAGGGGCACCATGATGGCTGTGGGGGCTCGGGGGGTCAGTGTTGGGGGGAGCACTCAGTCTGGGGAAGGCTGGGGGGCACTGCCGGGCTCCCCCCGCCCCATCACTCGCTGTCCCTCCTCTCTTCCCCAGGATGACAATTACACGGACAGCTACATCAGTACCATTGGGGTGGACTTCAAGATCCGCACCATCGAGCTGGAGGGGAAAACTATCAAACTCCAGATAGTGAGTTGACGGCAGTCGGGGGTGTCAGGACCCCTGGGTTCCATTCCCAGCTCTGGGAGGGGAGTGGGATCTACTGGTTAGAGCAGAGGAGGGCTGGGAGTCAGGACCCCTGGGTTCCATTCTCTGTTCTGGGAGGGGGAGTCGGTTCTGGTGGGTTAAAGCGGGGGAGGGCTGGGAGTTGGACTCCTGGGTTCTATGGGCTCTGGGAGGGGAATGTGGGGTCTTGTGGGTAGGGTTAGGAGCCAGGGTCAGAGGTTCAACACATTGAATGAACAACAGATCCAGCTGCAAAAGTGAGAATTCCCCCCCCCCCAACTCCTGACCCCAACTCTCTCCCCCACCCATGAGATCGGGGGGTTGCATCCAGACTCAGCTGAGGCTTGATGGCACCTCGCCCTGACCTCATGACGCTCCCACCTTCCTGACTGGCTAAAATCTCCCGGGATTTCCCCTGCGTTCTCAGGAGATTTCAGCTGCCCCAGACCAAGGGATACGGACTCTGCCCCATTGCGGAGTCTGAGCCGGAGCCGGGTTCAGATCAGGCCCCAACCCAAAGGGAAGGGGCGGGGGTGGATCTGAAGTTGTTTTCTGACCCATCCATGAGGACAGTGGGGGAGACCTTAAAATTGTTCAGGGTGTCGCTGCGTCTGATACACGCAGGGAATGGGAGGAGGGGCCTGGCACCGAGGACGTATACGTGGGAATAGCGCGAGCGTGTAGGGGCAAGATCGGGAAAGCCCAGGCGAGGAATGAGCTACAGCTGGCAAGGAAGGTTAGAGACAACGAGACGGGGTTCTTCAAATACGTCAGGCGAAAAAGAAAGCTCACGGGCAGCGTGGGGCCGCTGCGCGGTGGAGAAGGTGAGCTGGGAACGGGAGATGATAGGAAGGCAGAGCGGCTCAATGCCCACCTGGCCTCAGTCTATCACATGTGACCGGACGACCACAGACAATGAAGGGGAAGGGCGGCAGATCGGGATAAAGTCAAGAACACATCACAGATCTTCTGACCAATTTGAATGAAGTCAAATCAGCAGGGCCGGACGCTGTTCGCCCAGGGCGCTGCAGGAAGTAGCCGAAGAAATCTCGGCGCCGCTGGCGATGATACAAACGCCTGGATGACAGGAGAGGTCCCGGAAGGCCCAACGTAAAGCCCATCTTTAAAAAGGGGGGAGCCGGGGAGCTATAGACCAGTCAGCCTGACTTCGATACCTGGGAGCTGCTAGAGCCGTGTAGCAAACATGCCATTGGCGAATGCCAGCAGGCTGAAGGGGTGATCGCCAGCAGGCTGAAGGGTGATCGCTAGCAGCCAGCGTGGATTTACCAAGAACAAATCCTGCCAAACCAGCTGCATTCCCTTCTTTGACGGGGTAACTGGTTTGGTGGACGGGGGGAATGCGGTGGATGTCATATACCTGGACTTCAGCAAGGCTTTTGACACAGTCCCGTGTGACATTCTGATAACTAAGCTGGAGAAATGTGGGCTCGGCGGAACTACCATTAAGTGGATACATCACTGGTTAAACAGCTGCAAACAAAGAGTAACGATGAATGGAACGATGTCGGGTTGGAGGGACGTCTCGAGGGGGGTTCCCCAGGGATCTGTTCTGGGTTTGGTCTTGTTTAACATCTTTATTAATGCCCTGGATGTAGGTATAGAGGGAGCAGACTGACCACATTTGCACATGACACAAAGCTGGTGGTGGTGCGGGGGGTAGGGGGTGTTGCCAACACTTTGGAGGGTAGAGCTAAGATTCAGAGGGATCTTGATAAATTGGAGAACTGGGCTATAGACAACACAATGAAATTAAACACAGACAAATGGAAGGTGCTTCCGTTAGGGAAGAAAAACCAAATACAGAATGGGGGGTAACTGGCTTGGCAGCAGCTCTGCTGAGAAGGAGCTGGGAGTTGTGGTGGATGGATCCCAACCTCAACATGAGTCAGCAACGCGATGCTGTTGTAAAAAAAGCAAGTGCAGTTTTAGGTTGCGTTAACCGAGGCATAGCCTGCAAGTCCTGGGAGGTGACAGTACCGCTCTGCTGGAGAACAGTGTCCAATTTTGGTCATCAATGTATAGAAAGGATGTAGAGAAGCTGGAAAGGATCCAGAGGCGAGCGACAAAGATGATCAAAGGGTGGAACACAAGCCGTATGAGCAAAGGCTGAAGGAGCTGGGTGTGGTTAGTTTGGAAAAGAGGAGATGAAAGGGGGACACCATAGCGGTCTTCAAATACTTGGAAAGCTGCCATCAGAAAGATGGAGAAAAGTTGTTCTCTCCTGCCGCAGAGGGCAGGACAAGGGGCAGTGGGTTCAAACTACAGCCCAGCCGATCTAGATTAAATCTCCCCTCGCTGTAAGAACGGTAGGACAATGGAACAGATGCCTTGGGGGGGCGGGGGGGAGGTTTCAAAAGGAGGCTGGAGCCATCTGTCTTGGGTGGTTTAGACCCAACAAATCTGCACCCTGGCAGAGGGTGAGACTAGATGTCCCTTGCGGTCCCTTCTCACCTTGTGGTTCTATGATCTCTTCATCAGGAGTGCATGAGGGGGAGCTGGGGTCTGTTTTGGGGGTACAAGAGGGGATGGGGTCTATGGGGTGCATGGCAGGGCATCGAGGACCTATGGGGATGGAGGCACAGGGTAGAGCATCTGGGGTCCTTTTGGAGTGCAAGAGGCGCTAGGGTCTATTGGGGATCTGGAGGCTGTGTGGGTCCAGGATAGGAGATCTGGGTTCTGTGGGGCCTGGGAGCTGGAATGCGAGCTGGCAGGGCTGGGGGTACAGAGTGGGAGGCTGTGGGGTACAGTAGATCTAGGATCAGTGTGGGGCACAGGGTGTGTGTGGCAGCCTTCTAGCAGCTGCATTTAATAAACTACAAACCAGCCTGCTGGGGCCGATTCCCCTTTTGCCCCGTGGGACAGCAAACAGCAGGGTTCATCCCGGGGTGGGAAGGAAGCCTCCATTCCCCCCTCAACCCTTATGGGGCCTGTCCTGCTCAGTTCAGATGCCCCACAGCAGAGCCCCGGGAGCAGCCATTTATCAGCTGTGACTGGGGGGGGTCGCAGGGTCCGTCCAACCGCTGATCCCACCCTCCAATCCCAGCCCTGTTCCCCAGTGGGGGGCCCCCGCCCCCCAAGGCTCCTTGCTGCTCCACCTCCCTGCCAGTCCCCATACACAGGACCCTAATCTCACTCACGTGCCAGCCCCTCTGTGCCAAGAATGGCCCCTTGAAACTCCCTTCCCCCCACGCAGGGTCCTCCCTGGCCAGCTGGCATAAGGGGCCTGCTCCCAGTTACAGGGCACTGCATGGACACTGATTGGGGGGGTGTCCACACCGGGTGCTGCACGGCCCCCAGGCGAGGTCGGGGGGTTCCCCC